ATTCCCTTTCTGTGTAGCCATCCTAACCTGAAAGATTAGCTTTGGCCTAACCCTAGAATATTTTTTGCTCCTTTTTTTTTTTTATTCCACCTTGAGTTTGTTTGTGTTCTTGACAATGATCCTATGGTAACTATGTATGACAAACTGGAATGATATAATAAATCTAAGTTTCAACTCAGAATACGGACAATTGTGTGTGTGTGTGTGTGTGTGTGTGTGTGTGTGTGGGTGTGTGTGTGGGTTTGTATTGGTGTGGTTGTGTGGGGGTGGTGGTGGTGGTGGTGGTGGTGGTGGTGGTAGGGACAGGGAATGAAGACAGTAATGTTAAGTACCAAAGTTTCTTCGGTGAACACTGGGGGTGGCTAATGTGAGCTACACCCCTTTCTGAGGAGTGAGTGGCAGTTATTTAAGAAAGAGAGAGGACAAGAAGTCAGAAGGGAAAACATGTTGAGGAGTATCAGGAGTATAGAGAGGGAGGTGCTGGGGATAGGTATGACCAAAACATATTATCTACATGTGTGAAAATTTAAAGACTTTTTAACAGTTTTTCTTCCGCTAGGATGATGTAAAATTGTGAACACATAACATGCTGCCCAAAGCACATCTTTTTGAAGATCTGTCTGGACACTGGGCCAAATCCATCTATAATCAGCATAGTTAGGAGCTGCCACTCTCCTTCCAGTCAAGATTCAGCAGAGGTCTGTGCATGTGAGCAGATGATTCTTTGGCCACATTTTAGCGGACCCAGAGATACCCTAGTGAATGTCCCCCCATTGGTGTGTGTGGGCACTGATACTAGACTCACAGGATTAGTTCTGTTGAGGTAGCACTGGGTCATTCAAACTTGTCAGTATCTGGCACTGAGAGTTTCATTTCACTCAGCCATCAGAAGCATCTTCCAACTCCCCTTACTCTTCCTTTGCAGACTGTCATGCTGCTACTGTTTTCAGACATGGTTTCCCTGAGTAGCCCAGGTTGGCCTGGAATTTGCTGTCTAGCCAAAGCTTGTCTTGTATTCACCATTTTCTGGCTTCAGCCTTGCTTGTTCTGGGATTTCAGGTATGCGGACCCATGCTCAGCTCTGGAGTCTCTTTTTAATTCGTTTATGTGATGGGGAATGTCCTTCTGTATATATGTTTCTCTTATTGGATAATGAATAAAACACTGTTTGGCCAATAAGACAGGAAGATAAGTGGGACTAGGAGATGAGAATTCTGGGAAAGGTAGGTGGAGAGAGCTGCCAAAAGCAGATGACATGTTGCCGCCAAAGGAGATACAGGTATCTGGTAAGCCAAGACCATGTGGAAATACATAGATTTATAGAAATGAGTTAGCAATTAAGACAGAGCTAGCCAATAAGAACCCCTAGCCATCGGCCTATGGTTTCATAATTAATATAGTGTCTCTGTGTGCTTATTTGGGGCAAGGGGCCTGCAGAACCAGGCAGGAAATCCAGCAACAGTTATGAGTATAATTTATAGCCCCAGGTTATACACGAAAAAGAAATAACATAAAAACGAGATTGGTATTTGAATAAATTTCTTTCCCCCAGATGAGGAACTAAATTCCAGAAAAAAAAACTGTAATTCTGAAATAAGTTACTAGTTAGTTTAGTAATTGGAAACATTTTAGGATCTATGTAAGTGGTGAGGATGTCAAGATCATATATGAATTTGTTTCTCTGAATCCAGGACTGTGCAAAAATCCCATACAAAGAGGCTTCTGGTAGATACAAAATACACATATCGAAAAACTTGTTCCTTATAGATATTTTGAGACTTACAAAATTCTATATCTAAAGAGTAATCATCCAGGTATGTATGGAAACACACTTCTGCAACCCCAGGGAAATGGACGGTTCCAGGCCAGCCTAGACTACATGGCATGTTTTAGCTCAGCCCGAACAATACAATAAGACCCTATCTTAAAAAAATTAAATACAGAGGGATGACAATGAAACACATAAAGATGACAATAATACTGAAAACATTTGAAAGAGTAGATTTTGAGAGTTATTACTATAAAAAATAAGTACTCAAGGTGATTTATAGTAATGGATGATGCAGCCATTCCACAACTTGTATGTATATCAGAAGACCATGTTACAGCATATACATATAATTTTAATTGCAAGTCAATCATTCTTTAATTTGAAATGAGATTCAAATATAAGGGACAATAGCAGAATGAATAAATTTACCCAGAGGCCAAGGATTCCCTTGTCAAGTACCTCATTTGTCATGGTTTAGTTCATAATTCTAATGAAATGCTATATAAAATGGCACATGTCACTCAGAAACACAACAGATCATCAGTATTATAAGATGGCAGAGGGAAGTTAGAACAGCCTCAGCAAGCAAGACATAGGAGTGTGTATGAAAGGGACTGTGCTGGCTCAATTGTTACCTAGTAACAATTGCTAATAGCCCCTAAACTTTTCTCATTGAAAACGACTAGAAATGACTTAAAAGCAAGCACGATTTCAGAAGGTGAGAGTGCACATCTGAGAGTACAGGGTTCCAATTACTATTACCTCTAGTTTCTTTCTTAGTATGACATTCCTGTAGCTGAATAAGACACAACAGTAATTGTCATGTCCCCACAGCACATATTGGCACACATATTGGCAGATGGTAGACATCATCTATCAATTATTTATCAAGATACAGCAAACTATTTCAAA